CAGGTGTAGTGGTGCATGCCTTTAATCCCAGCACTTGGGAGGCAGAGGCAGGAGGATCTTTGTAAATTGGAGGCCAGTCTGGTCTACACAGTGAGTTCTAGACCAGCCAAGGATACATAATGAGATACTGTCTCAAAAAGTGTCTCCCCACCCAAAAAAGAATGGAACTGAAAAAACACAGAGTTACACAGTTCCATTGGAGAAATTCCTGGATGCTAGAGGAGGAAGATCACAGATAGCACCCATCAATGAGAATTTTACCAAATTGGCTGGAGCCAGCATTGCTAATCTAAAGGCTTATGAAGCTGTGGAGATGTGTGCCCATGAGAAAGGGAAGATGGCTGGAGAAGAAAAGTGGAAATGAAGAGAAACTTTGGCCTGGAGAGATGACTCAGTGGGTAAAAATGCTTACCATGCTAGCCTGACGTCTGAGTTTGCTCCCTGGAACCAGCTTCCAAAAGTTGTCTTCTGATCTTCATGTGCCAGCTGTCACACACACACACACACACACACACACACACACTGGCATTTACCTTTAATCACAGCACTCAGGAGGTTAGAGGCAGGTGAACCTCTGTGAGATGGAGGCCAGCCTGGTTTACATAGTGAGTTCCAGGCCAATTGGGTTTACAGGGAGGCCCTGTCTCAAATTATATATATATATATATATTTGTTTTGTTTTGTTTTGTTTGTTTTTTTAAGTTGGGCATGGTGGCACATGCCTTTAATCCCAGCACTTGGGAGGCAGAAGCAGGCAGATCTCTGTGAGTTCAAGGCCAGCCTGGTCTAGTTTCAGGCCAGCTGGGGCTACAGGGAGCCCCTGTCTTAGAAAGGCCAACATGAAAAGAAAAACTTAAGAGAAATAGCCCAAAAGAAGCAGGAAGAGAAGAAACGGGACCAAAGCCAAAACAAAATAGGGAAGGATGTAAGAGAATTGAAATCTGCCATGCTAGACAAGAAGAAAACATGATGCACTCATCCCAGGTAGTTCCTGGTGAGTCGACATCGAGCAAAATGAAATGCCAAAGCTTAGGAGTTATGTGAATCTTATTTTTAGACTTCCAATGATGTTCAGTATGACCAAAGGCTCTTCACCTCCTAGACAGTGGACTGGAGGGTAGAAAAGATGAAATTTACAATGTCTTTGATCCAGCCTGGAGTGGTGTTGAAGAAATAACCCAGAGCATTTATAGGCCTAGTAAAAATCTGGAAAAGATGTGTGTGGTGAAGACCTAGAAGCAAGAATAAACATCAACAGATTTGTTTCTGACGAGGACTCTTCTCGTCCAGACTGTGGACAGAGGTGCTTGGAAAGATCACTTGTTTAAAGATCCTTTTGGTTTGGGTATTTGAAAGAGGTCAAACAGGTTGGCAATGTGGCTCAGTTGGCAGAGTGTTTTCTCAGCATGCACAAAGTCCGAGTTCCATCCTCAGTATTGTATAATCTGGACATGGTGGCACATGCTGGTAGCCTTTGCACTGAGGAAGTGGAGGCCAGAGGATCAGAAGTTCAGTGCCAAATTTGGCTGTAGAGAGTTCCAGGCCAGCCGGGAATACATGAGAACCCATTTCAAAAACAAATGAAAAAAGCAAAACAAACTCAAATAGCATGGTGGTTCTAAAAGACCCGCAGAAAAAAACAACTTTCAGATAGCTTAGCGCTCACTTGATGATTCAACTAATATGACTTCCAGTATTGCAAAGTTACTCCATGGTAAATATCCTACGTATGTGTATATGTGTGTGCTTGTAATTTTTGTTTGTTTTTTGTTTTTTTGAGACAGGGCCTCCCTGCAGCCCCAGCTGTCCTGGAACTCAATAGGTAGACCAGGCTGGCCTTGAACTCACAAAGATCCACCTGCCTCTGCCTCCCAAGTGCTGGGATTACAGGCATGTGCCACCACGCCTGGCAATGTGTTTGTAATTTTTTAAAAATATTTTTTATTATTTTTATTTTATATGTATGAGTGTATTGTCTGCATGCATGTGAGTGCGCCCGTGTCATGCAATGCCTTGGGGGTCAGAAGAGGGCTTCAGATTCCCTTGGAACTGGAGTTAAGGATGGTTCGTAGCCACCATGTGGGTGCTGGGAATCAAACCCAGGTCCTCTGCAAGAGCAGTCAGTGCTCTTAACCGCTGAGCCATCTCTCCAGCCCCGTGTTTGTAATTTTTTAAAACTGAGTTACATTCCCAGACTTTCTTTTCTTTTTCTTGCTTCATTTTTTGAGATAGGGTTTCACTATGTAGCTCTGGCTTACCTGGAACTCTGCCTGGATCTCCATATGTAGACCAGGCTAACCTCAGACTCACAGAGACCCACCTGCCTCTGACTCCCAAGTGCTGGGATTAAAGGCATGTACCACCACACCTGGTCTCCTCTTTTATAGCAAAATTTGCTGCTTAGACCTGCAAATACCATTGTTAGACTTGCCTACAGTATTTAGTACATTAATAATGTGCAGGCAATAGCAAACTATATAGCTTAGGTAATAGGCTGCCCCATCTAGGTTGGTGTAAGTACATTCTATAATGTTCACACAATAACAACATTGCCCAATGTCTTTCTTAAAAACATGCATATTAATCAAGGCATAATGTTGCCTCCTCCTCCCCTCTGTCTCATTTTCTTGTTTTCTTCATAGCACGTCGTGATACATTTGTGAACTTGTGTTATTATTTCCCTATGGGGAGTTTGACTTCATCTCTGTGTCTTTCTTGTTTAAAATAGGACCTGGTCTACACAGAGAATTCCAAGCTAGCCATGGTTACACAGTGAGACCCTGTCTAAAAAAAGACCTGAAATGAGGCATGGTGGCATGCACTTTAAATCCCAGCACTCAGGAGGCAGAGGCAGATGCATTCCTGTGAATCCAAGGCCAGCTTGGTCTACATCTATATATCCAGTTCCAGATGAGCCAGGGCTATGTAGTGAAACCCTATATGTAAATAAATAAATAAATAAATAAATAAATAAATAAATAAAATAAAACAGGACCTGGTATAGACACACATGATGGCTGACCCCTGTAATTCCAAGCACATAGGAGACAGAGGTATGAGAGAACTACCCAGGGTTCAAGGCTAGCCTGGGTTACAGAATGAGGCCTGTCTTAAGAACATACTCAAAATATTTATTGAATACTGGATAGGTATATCCTTAATACACTATGAATTTCTAGTATCCCTATAGGGATCTATTGGAACACAATAAATTATTGACCTTTTGTTTTGTTTTGTCTTTTTGAGACAGGGTCTCCCTGTAGCCCCAGCTGACCTGGAACTTGCTATGTAGACCAGGCTGGCCTCGAACTCACAGAGACCCGCCTGCCTCTGCCTCCCAAGTGCTGAGATTAAAGGTGTGTGCCACCATGCCTGGCTGACCTTTTTTTTATTTGGTCTCCCTGTAGTCCCAGCTGACCTGAACTCACTATGTAGACCAGGCTGGCCTTGAACTCACAGAGATCCACCTGCCTCTGCCTCCCGAGAGTGCTGGGACTAAAGGCCTGTGTCACCACGCCTGGCTCTGACCTAAGTTTTTAAAAAATATTTTATTTTTTAAACCGGGCATGGCAGTGCTCGGCAGGCAGAGGCAGTGGGAGCTCTGTGAGTTCAAGGCCAGCCTGGTCTACATAGTAAGTTCCAGGCAGCTGGGGCTACAGAGTGACCCTGTCTCAAAAAAAAGACCAAAAAAAAAAATTTTTTTTTTATGTGTATGAGTGTATCGCCTGCATGTACGTAAATGCACCCCTGTCGGGCAATGCCCACAGAGGTCTGAAGAGGATCGGATGCCCTGGAACTGGAACTTGAGTTATGGATGATTTTTAGCCATATGTGTGCTTGGAGCTGTTTTAACACGAAGGAGGTAAAACAAACACCTTGTTATGATTCCCACGTTTTTCTTCGTGCAAGTTAGAGCTGTGTTGTTGTTCATGGATTTGTTGTTTCTGCTTGTGACTAAGAGAGAGTCAGCACCACACTCCATTACTCTCCAAGGAGTACTTTTAGTTCTTTAAGACAGTCTTCCTGTAGCCCCAGCTGGCCTGCAACTGGCTTTGTAGACTTAGGCTGGCTTGGGTCTCACAGAGCTCCACCTGCCTCTGCCGGGCTCCAATGAGTACCTTTTAAAGGTACCTAGGATTACAGGACAAATAAACATACAAAATTTAAGGGTGATGTACTGAAGTCATGTACCTACAAGTTTAAGGCATAAAACCTTGGAGCATAGACTAGAGAAGGTGACATAAGCTACACGGGGTTTGGCTAGGTGGGAATGTCAAAGCCTCACCAAATTTCAAGTTTAGCCATTACTGGTGAACTAGTTTAACACAAGGAGTAGGAATAGGACAGAAACTGCGGGGAAGGATCCTCCATTTAGGACCGGCTGAAGTCGGGCAGGCGATGGCAGTAATCTCCCAGGATGCCTTCTCCATCTATTTTTGCTGAGAAGGTAAAGGCAGGGTTTTGTGCGGTCAGGGTTAGGACACTGGGAGGCATCTTCATCCAATCACCCCACCCCACCCCACCCCCACTGCAATCAGGAACTCAGCGAGGCCCAGGCAGGCCTCCCGGGGGACACTGCCTGAACATCGAGCTCCGAAGCCGGCCACCGTCAGCGGAAGGCCCGCGTGGCGTCTCGGGTTTCCCAGGCCCACTCGTGCCCCTGCCGCCGCCGGCCTCGGGGTCTGCACCGCGGGCCTGGACCCGGGGACAAGTCCGGGCCAAGAAAAAGGAAGCAGACGCCGCCCAGATGGAGGAGTCAGGCCGGGGGCTTCCCAGAAGCAGGGGACGAGCACAAGCTCTCGGGAACCTTCGCACCCGGCGCGCTCCCGGCGGCGCACTGCCCCGCCCGACCCCGCCTTAACCACTCCAGCCTCCTCCCCAGCAGACGCTAGGGGGAAACCTCCGCCTGCGCCTTTAAGAGGCGTGGCCACAGGCCCCGCCCCCGATAGCTCGCGCGCCAATAAGGGGCGGGGCGCGGGAGGAGGAGCCCGGCGTGAGGCCCGGCGTGAGGAGTGGGAGGCGAGGCCTGCGGCAGTGCGCAGGCGCAGTGGCAAGGGGCCAGACCGTGTGTTTCCAAAATGGCGGCAGCGATGGATGTGGATACCCCCAGCGGCACCAACAGCGGCGCGGGCAAGAAGCGTTTTGAAGTGAAAAAGGTTGGGTCTCGCCAGCACCTTCCTCAGGGAAGCTAGACAGGCGAGGATGTGGCTGGCAGGCCCTAGTACGGCCGGGGCGCGGAGGAAAGGGCTGCATTTCAGGGCGTTCCTGGGACCGGGTACCACGAAAGGAAGTTAGGGGGCGGGCCTTAGCGTTGATGGGCGTGCCGGCGACCCAATGTCCTGGCTGTTTGAGTTTAGCTGGGGCGGCGCGTCTTCCAATCACAGAGGTGCTTATTGAAATATGCGGGGTTGAGGCTTGGTTGCCGGAGCCAAGCGTTTGAGCTGTCACTGGAGTGACTGAGGGGTGGGGGAAGGACTGGGTGGGGTGGGTGGGTGGAATGGAGGCTCCTGGAGCGGCTGCGGCGAGTTGGAGGATGGGGCGGTGCGGGGAGAGCCGGGACCCCGAGATCCGGCTGCGGTGGAGGCCTGGGATGAGCGGCCCGGCATGACCTTGTCCCGCCCCTTCCTGGAGCCTAGGGTTTTTGACTCCGCGGGACCCTACGTGGGTCCTCCTGCGAGGAGGCCTCCATTAGTCATCAGATCCCACTGAGTAGGTGTACCGGTTGTCACACAGCTTCCGGCCAGTCTCCTGGTTCCCTAATGTTCAGATACCTGTTTCCAAGAAAAAATAATTAAAAAGCATGCTGGGCTTTGTTAAAAGCCAGCCCAGATCCTGCGGCTAAATTTAGGTAGGTTTGAGTTCTAGTTGCAAATGACCTGGGGAGGAAAGCAAAAATGTGAAACGTCTTTTTGCATATTTCCCCGTAGTTGGCTTGCCAAAAGTGCCCCACGTACGATGAAATAAATCATTTGAAAATGAAGATATTCAAGTGGGGAAGATGGGTATCACTCGTTATTTTATTCCTGGACCATGTTGCTGAGCACACCCTCCCCCAAACCCCCCCCCCTTTTTTTTGGCATCTCATTGTGGTCGTGGCTGCTCAGTTACAGCCAACAGCCATATTGAGAAAAAAATAGTTTTTCCTCCAAGTTGAGGTTGTGATGTGCAAAGTACTGAAGAAGTTTACTAGACACTGAGAATTGGGTTAGAAAGAGATGAATATTTGAGAGATGAAAGCAAATTAGTATGTGAAAAGGGTTGGAGGGTATGTTTGAATAATTGCAGAAACCAGATAGTTGAATTGCTTTTAGGCCAACTCTTACTAGCATTAAGTATGAGTCTGGACATATATGAAAGTTGAGAACATCAGTTTACTTTGTAAGAGGGAAGGACAATTGTAGTGGATTAAGAAGACAGCTTACAAGATGTAAGTGATGACCTTGTTCAGTATACTGATGCTGGGTAGGTAACTAATGATCCAGCTTATCCCACGCTTACCCACTTTATGATCCAATCATCATAGTTCATTCTGTTCCCTGCTTTTGCCTCCCTACTCGTGCTACCAAAATTGTCTTGAAGAACAGATACTTGTCTATACAGATTTGGAATTCTTTGGCAACTGCCAGGAAAACCTGCACAGTAATTCAACATTGTACTTATTAAATCTAAAACAAGTCCTAAAGAAATTACTTCAAATTCGATTACATTGGTATGGCTAGTTGAATTATTTGAAACTATAGGGGAAAACTAGATCTTTGGATGAATGAGGAAGCATACCTGTCACCTACTGTTCTTTGATAGAATATACCCCAAAAATGCTTTTGCTTGATGGTCCTCGTAGCCAAAGTGATAGTAACTACAGCTGCAGCATGAAATCCTCTGTGTGTTACGGTACAAGGAGAGTGCATTCTTCCCCTCTTCTCTTTGCAGTGGAATGCAGTAGCCCTCTGGGCCTGGGACATTGTGGTTGATAACTGTGCCATCTGCAGGAACCACATTATGGATCTCTGTAAGTAACTGGAGGAGGTTGGGAGGGGAAGTTGAGAAGGTTACAGAGATTGTGGCTTTCCTGATATGACCAGTTTTCTCCACAAGCAGATACACAAAGCATGATCAGAGCCCTTGGGGTCTTCTGTATCTCATCCATTGCTGTGTTTGAAATAGATTTTTTTTTTTTTTTGGGAGACTACCCAGCTCTCAGAATAAATAACTCAGCCTATTTAGAGCACATTTAGAATGAATTATAGACACAGAGTTGTTTATTCCAAAGGCAAAAAATAGCGAAACCTGGTCTATATAGTGAATTTAGTTCAGGCCAGCCAGGGCTAAAAGTACTCTGAACTAAAATACTTTTATCTGAGCTACTTTTTGTTGGGTAAGATTTGTAGTCAGTCCTTTGTGTTCTCCCTAATGTTCAATATTTTATATATATGGAGAGAGAATGAACCCAGGGCCTAATGAATGCAAGGCAAGCACTCTACCAATTGAGCTATATCCCCCTCCCCCTGTTTTTTTAAACATATAGTCTCACTTTGTAGTGCTGGTTAGTCTGGAACTCACAGAGATCCTCCTGCCTCTGACTCCAGAGTGATGGAATTAAAGGCCGGCAGCACCACACCTGACCCCCACCCCTTTTTTCTGAATTACATTTTATTTTGTGGGCACACTCCATGCATGGTACACATGTGGAGTTCAGCATACAACTTGTAGGAATTCATTCTTTCCTTTCATTGTGTGGATGCTAAGGGATCGGTTGTAAGTCCTTTTTTTTTTGGTCTTTTTTGAGACGGTCTCCCTGTAGACCGAGCTGTCCTGGAACTCATTATGTAGACCAGGCTGGCCTTGAACTCACAGAGATCTACCTCCCTCTGCTTCTGCCTCCCAAGTGGTGGGACTAAAGGCGTGCACCACCACACCTGGTGAAGCTTTTTTTTTTTTTTGATTATGGTTTTTTTTTCTGCTGTGCATGGTGGTGAATGCCTTTAATCCCAGTACTAGCAGGCAGATCTCTGTGAATTTGAGGCCAGCCTGGTCTACATAGTGAGTTCTGGGCCAGCTGGGGCTACAGGGAGACTATCTCAAAAAGACCAAAAAAAAAATTTTAATTATGTATGTATGTGTGTAGATATGTGCATGCAGGTTCCTATATGGAGGCATTGGATCCTCTTGGAGCTAGATTTGAGCCCCCTGACATGGGTGCTGGGAATCAAACTCAAGTCCTCTAAAAGAGTGGCATATGCTTTTAACCACTGAGCCGGCTTTCCAGCACCCATCTTTTTTTTTTAAATTGTACTTGGTCAAGTGTGATGGGGGTACCTCTGCAGTCCCTATACCCTAGGCACTGAGACAAGAATATTGTTTTGGGTTTTTTGGGGGGTCTTTTTGAGACACAGTCTCCCTGTAGCCCCACCTGGCCTGGCACTCACTATGTAGGCCAGGTTGGCCTTGAACTCACAGAGTTCCACCTGCCTCAGCCTCCGGAGTGCTAGGACTAAGCCTGTGCCACCACACCTCGCCAAGGCGAAAATACTGAATCAGCCTCAGTAGTTGAAGGCCAGGCTGGAGCAATGTAGTATGAGACCTGTCTCAAAAAAGGAAAAAAAAAAAAAAAGAGGTAGGGTATGGCAGTTCACACCTTTAATTCTGGAAGTAGAGGTAGGCCATCTCTGTAAATTTCAGGCCATTCTTGTCTACACTGTGAGTTCCAGACCAGCCAGGGAGTCATAGTAAGAGCCTGCTCAGAAAACACGCCCCCCCCCCAAGTCTGCTAAAATATGCAGGTTTCTTCCTTAAACAGTGTAGTATAATGACTACATAGCATTACATTCCAATGCCTATACTGTGGGTATCATAAGTAGTCAAGAGATGATTTAAAGTGTATGATTGTGCAGAGGTTCTGGGTCTATACTATGCCATTGTGTATGAGACTTGAACATCTTCAGATTTTCATATCTATTCCTGGCACCATGTGAGCGAGTCCTAGAACCTGTACCTTAGTACAGGATGACTGATTAAGAAGAAAGTCTAGTTGAATGTGGTGGCGATGCCTTTAGTCCTAGCACCCAAAGGCAGAGGCAGATGATTTCTCTGAGTTCGAGGCTAGCCTGGTCTACATAGGTTACAGGCTAGCTGGGGCTATAGAGGGACCCTATCTTAAAAAGAAAAAAGTCTAAAGACAAGAGTTTTTGGTGTTTGCCTCAAACATAGTAAAAGGTCGTATTACCAGCCCCTAACATGTAATTGTGCTAAGGACTATTTTTTCCTTCGAGACAGGGTCCCACTCTGTAGCCCTACCTGGACTAAAACTGGCTGTGTAGAACAGGCTTACCTTAAACTCACAGAGAGGCACGTGCCTTTGGTACTGGGACCAAAGGCATGCACCACCACACCCAGCAAGACATTTCATTTTAAATGGCCGCACAGTTCTATATAGTGAGAAACAAGGGTTTGAAGCCAGCTGTTGAATGGCTGACTTGTAATCCTTGAGGTAATTGCACAGGCAGAGGAGGCAGCAGTGGTCGGTCACACAGGAATAGTTGGATGTTTTCATCTGGCTGCTAAAGTTGTTTCTTCCTGAGATTGGAAGTGGAGCAAACAAAGTTTAGGTTTCCAGAGTTGGAGTAACTGGTGCTGTTTTGAGGTTACCCACCATGTTTCCAGATTCATCTTGTGCCACTCTCGTGTTCACTGTGGAAGTCTTCTTGCTGTTTTTGGAGGGAGGGGTGGTGAGACAGTCTCAGTATTACTTAGCCCAAGCTGGCCTCAGACTCAAGATTCTCTTGCCCCAGCCCCAAGTGCTAGGATTCCATACCCTGCGGCCATGCCCAGTTATTCCCTGCGTTCTTGGAGTACCCTCTACCTAGAAGAGCTCCACCATTTCCCGATTTTTGTGTGTCCTAGCACTCGTTAATGTAAATGTTAGCTACAAATACGAGCACAAGGAGAATTGTCAGTCCTCTAAATTCTACATTAATAAAGTCAAAAGGTGAGCTTGATTTTAATACTGTATCTTATTTAATGTACAATATCCAAAACGTTTTCAACATCTAATCAGTATAAACCAAATGAGATAAAAGACTGGGGGTGTAGCCGAGTGGCAGAGCATTTGCCTAGTGTGCATGAGGCCCTGGGGTTAGATCTCCAGCACCACAAAAGAAATGGGGGAGGAGAGAGAGACCTACCCTCCCTCCCTCCATTCCTTCCTGTCTTTCTTTTTTTAGGCTGATATTTAGAAATGCAGTGGTATTTTACACTTGGAACATATCTCAGTTCAGACTAGCCACATTTCTTTTTTTTTTTTTAATTTATTATTTTTATTTTATGTGTATGAGTGTATTGCCTACATGTATATGAGTGCACTTGTGTCGTGCAATTCTGCGGAGGTCAGAAGAGGGCTTCAGATTCCCCTGGAACTGGAGTTAAGGATGGTTCATAGCTGCCATGTGGGTTCTGGGAATCGAACCTGGGTCCTCTGCAAGAGTGGTCAGTGCTCTTAACCGCTGAGCCAACTTTCCAGCCCCCAGACTAGCCACATTTCAAGTGTTCCAGGACCGTGTGTTAATGTCTGGCTTGGAGGTGATTTTCAGAGCTCGCCCTGAGCCTTCTCAGGGATTTTTTTTCCCTGACAACTTGTACATATCCAAACACAGGCTCTTGACAGCTCTCTGAAATGTCCCCAGGACATACTGTAGTGCCCTCTGCATTAATCATTTAATTAAGTAGTTCTGTGTTGCCTATTTCTAACATTGTGTGTCTAGGACACGATAAATTCTCACTAAATATTTACTAGATGAATAAGAAAAACCCCCAAATGGTGGAATGATCTGTCATTACTGTAGCCCGGAAAGCATAAATCAAGTGCTTTGTGTTGGAAAGCCTTTATAGCATTTGCTGGTAATTGATGGCTCAGGGTTTCTATGAACTTTGACCTTTTGTGTTTTGTTCTACAGTAAAAGTGGATCAGCAGCTCCCATATTGTCTAATGCAGGTGGCAGGAGCCCATCACAGAAAACACATGCCCAGTTCTAAGTGTGTCTGGGTGGGGTCCCTGATTAGGTGCTTACAGTTTCTGCGCCTTTTTCACAAGTTGTACCCAGAGAAAAATGCTACTTCCTTGGGACTCTCATCTGAAAACAGTCGGTGGTGTTCTGTAACCCAGTTTTTTGTTTGTTTTTTTAACCTCCATATTGAAGTTGCTGTATGCTTCTAGATTCAAAAGAACACATTTTTGGGGAGGCCCATAAAAAGTGAAAGCCCCAGCGTGTTTTCCATTAGATACTTACTTTGCATCCCTCAAATATGTTCAAAATGTCACGAGGTAAAATTCTGAATATGATGAAAATTGTGAGGTCATATTTCTGAAATCCCAGCATTTGGGAGGTAGAGGCAAGAGAATCAGGAGTTCAAGGTCATCCTCAGCTACACAGCAAATTTGAGGCAGCCTGGGCTACATGAAAACTCATCTCAAAAAGGCAAGCAAGCATGTGGTGAAATGGCTCGAGTTTCCTGCTCCTGCCTCTGGAGTGCTGAGATTATATAAATGTGCCGCCATGTCCAGCGTGGTTGATGTTTTCTTATTGTTGGTTCCTTTTTGTTTGGGCGTTTGTTTTGAGACAGAGTCCTCAGTATACAGCCCTGGCCAGCCTGGAACTTGCTATGGAGACCAGGCTGGCCTCAAACTCAGATTAACCTGCTTCTGCCTCCCCAGTGCTGGGATGAAAGGAATGTGCAACCATGCCTGGTGTTTTGTTTGGAGACAGCTGTTGGTCTTGGTTGGTCTGGTGCTTGGCTGTGTATTTCAGTCCTGCTTCTCAGCCTCCTCAGGGCTGGAATTGCAGGCATGAGCCCCCATGCCCAGCCTCAGTAAGTTCTTGAATATAGTACATAGATGTTGGAGTCTTTGCTTTTCTGGGTGACAAACCACGTTAACCCTGATTATAGTGAATCTGAATAGCAACAGCAGTTCTGCGATTTCAGATCCTTGACCTTTCATGTTTTCGAGGAGTGAAGACAAACAACCATAAGAACAAATACGCCTTTTAATATATCAGCATTATCTCTTACTGTCTTCCATCTGATGGTTTTACTTTTCAGAAGGAGGCTTCATTTGTCTACTCTCTGGGGAAAGCAAACTCTACATTAGTAATCCCATTTTCTGAACATTTATTATAGAGCTTTACTCAGTAGTTCTTACTCTCGGATTTTCATTCTTTTTTATTTCCTTGATCCCTCCTCTAATAAAGTTGATATTTGAATATGTGTGCAGTAATCTGCCCTGCTTCCAAAACACAGCACTTCAGGGTCAGTAAGGACCACAGAGTGGTGGTCCGAGATCTTTAAGCCAGCAGATGTGAATTTGAGGAAGGAAGTCGTTTGTTTTCTCTCTCTCTCCCTCCCTCCCTCCCTTCCTCCCTCCCTCCCTCTCTCCCTCTCTCTACCTCCCCCTCCCCCCTCCAACTGTTGGGTATTCATTTTGTTTTCTATATAGCTTTGCCTAGCCCTGAACTAATGATCCTCCTACCTTTGCCTCTCAAGTAAGTGCCCAGATTACAAGTGCACACCACCACACCTGGCTTTTCTTGCTTTTGTTTTTTTGAGATAAAGTCTCTCTATGTAGCCCAGGCTGACCTCCATCTCAAAATCCTCCTGCCTCAGTTCAGCATCGCTCCCAAATGCTGGGATTATTATGGGCACATACCGCTGTATCCTGCAGAATTCTGAGTTTTGATGCTGACTTCTTCCAGATTCACGGATTTCTACTTTACTCAGTTCAGAATTAAAGCTTGTTACCCAGACTGGGCCTTTGAGTGTAAGGCCTGAGTGGTATAAAGGCCCAAGAGGAACAAATACAGAATAGGGTGCCATTCCTGAGAACAGCCATGAGACGGCTTTGCGACTTACCTCGGTTTACCAAAGTAGAAAGTGTTGCTACCATTTTGAGCAAGTCTGGTTGGACTCAGAATTTTGAAAGTACTGTTCACATGTTTTGGTTGGGAAGCATACTGTTAATTCACACCCCTGTCTTATCCATGCTTCACCTTTTTCACATTCATTGAAAAGCAGTTAATGGGCGGTCACGTGTCCGAAGACTCCAGTTTGAAATGTTGCTGCTCCCAGGTCCAGTGATCTTGTGCTCTTTTCCCACAGGCATAGAATGTCAAGCTAACCAGGCATCCGCTACTTCGGAAGAGTGTACTGTTGCGTGGGGCGTCTGTAACGTAAGGAAACGTCTTTACCTATCAGCATGGCTTGTACTCACATTGCCACTTTTCCTGCTTTGCCAGTCTTGAAAAGTATTAGGGGAAAAACAGTAGCCCATCTTTCTCCCAAAAGGTATACAAATAGTAAAAGCGGATTTTAAATCCTCATACCTGTAACCAGATAAACTAGTTATTACTAAAAGGGACTGGTTTGTCTTATTAAGTGGGCTCACTTTTCTAAGCAGTGTTTTGGGTACTCACCTACAGGAGATGTCTTCAAAGACTGAGACTCAGTCTTAGAAGATTCTCCTCTTCGCCTTTTTCTTTTCTTTTTTTTTAAGATTTTTGATTATTATTTTTTTAATATTTTATTTATTATTTTCATTTTATGTGTATGTGTGTATTGCCTGCATGTGAGTGCACCTGTGTCTGTCGGATCCCCTGGAACCGGAGTTACAGACAGCTGACACCTGCCATGTGATGCTGGGATTTGAACCAGGTCTTCTGCAAGAACAGTCAGTGTTCTTAACCACTGAGCCATCTCTCCAGCCCCTGATTTTTTATTTTTATTTATATATATAAGAGTGTTTCACGGACATGTAAGTGCACCTGTGTCATGCAGTTCCCATGGAGGCCAGAAGGGTGTCAGATCCCCCTGGAACTGAAGTTAAGGACAGATGTTGGCCACCATGTGGGTGCTAGGAATCGGACCTCAGTCCTCTGTGAGAGCAGCCTGGTCTACATAGTGAATTCCAGGACTACAGGGTCTCAAAAAGGGAAAAACTAAGATTTGGGTGGTGCTTCCTAGTGCTCTGTGCTGCCCCATGGGTTTTGACTATTTCCCTACTGAACCCTGCACAGCGCTCTTTAGTCCATATTAGCTAAAGGATGGCTTTCATCGCTCATGGAATAAAGGAACTATATTGGACACTTTGCTCTCCCTGACACCCAAACTAAGGACAGCGTTCCTACCTTTGAAAGGACAGATGGAGACCTACCTTTAAATTTAGCTCATACTAGTGAGATGGCATAGTGGTTAAAGGGGCTTGTTGCAGAGCTTAAGAACCTGAGTTCAGCTGGGCTGGCAGCACACGCGTTTTGTCCCAGCACTAGGACACACAGAGGCAGGTGGATCGCTGTAAAGTCAAGGCCAGCCTGATCTACATAGTGAGTTCCAGGACAGCTGGGTCTACAAGGAGACCCTGTCTCAAAAAGACTTAAAGAAATGGTTCCTACTGCATATTTTTAGCATGAATAAGGGAGATAAATGTGCATAATGAATTACATACACTATTTTTGCACTCATACATGTACAAAAATAAAGTAAGAGATAGAAATTTGTTTATAATGGTCTTTTTTGCAGAGCTTAAGAACCTGAGTTCAGCTGGGCTGGCAGCACACGCGTTTTGTCCCAGCACTAGGACACACAGAGGCAGGTGGATCGCTGTAAAGTCAAGGCCAGCCTGATCTACATAGTGAGTTCCAGGACAGCTGGGTCTACAAGGAGACCCTGTCTCAAAAAGACTTAAAGAAAAGAACAACAAACCTCAGTTCAATCCCAGAATCCCCATGGTGGAAGGAGAGAGCAAACTTCCATAAATTGTCTTCTGAGTCCCACACGTGCCCTCCCACCGAAAAACCCAAATAAATATAATTTTTAAATTTAGCTAAATGCTGGTCATGATGGTGCACATCTTTAATCCCAGCTCTTGGGAGGCAGAGGCAGGTGGATCTCTGAGATAAAGGCCAACCTGGTCTGCATAGTGCGTTCCAGGCCAGCTGGGGCCACAGGGAGATCCTGTGTCAAAACAAACAACAAAAAAAATTTAGCTAAAGATGAATTTATGTTTAGAGAGCCTGTCAGAGGAGAGCATGCCATGCGCCTTGGGCTGGTCTGGGTGCTGGTTCTGAGTCTAAACCAGCTCCATGAATTAGGCAAGTCACTTCTCTGGGGTTCAGTTTCCTGTCTGTAAAGTACAGATAATAATATCTGTCTATCATGCCGGCTTTCAGGGTTGTGGTGAGGCTCAAATGAGGTAATAGATGTCAACATCTTCTGTAAACTTGGAGTGTGTGGGTATATGAGTGTGGGTATGGATGCAGGTACCTGTAGAGGCTAGAAGGTGTTAGATCTCCTAGAACTGGAGTTAGTTGGTTGTGAGCTGCCTGATGTGTGCTGGGGATCAGACTCGGGATCAGACTCTGAGAAGTATGCATTCCTAACTGCTGAGCCATCTCTCCAGCCCCCAGATTCCATTCTTAATTACCAAATTATATATATATA